TTGTCTTTCTACTTCTCCATCTTTATACAAAAATATCTGGGAATCTTACAAAGAAAAGAAGAAAACAGGTAATCTTTCAAAATAAAAAATAAAATTTATATAAGGATTTTTAAATCATGAGAAGTAACTTTCAGGCACGAACTGGAAGAAAAAGCCCTCTCAAAACAAAGACTTTCATATAAACATTGAATTACACAAAAGAAAAGTACTTTCGAAACAGCTACTTTTATATAACAATTGAATTAACAAAAAACACTTCTACTATCATTCGTTATGGAACTGAATCAGATATCATTCACAGGATTGCTACACAATATAGTACAGTAGAATTCATATATAACCACTGCGCTTATAACGACTATCCGTTTAGAGCGACGATAATGTTTACTCAAGTTTAGTTTCATATTTAGTTATTGAGAAAATATACCGTTTAGTGCTACTCAGGTTTAAGCAATCAACCGCTTATAGCGACCGTTTTTCATGATAATACATCCGGTTAAAACGTCACGCAATGTTTTGTTCACACAATCTGCGCACCAACCCTCGGCGCACTTCCTCTTCTTCACGCAAGGGACAATTTTTAACTGTTACAAACACGCTGGTTTTGTGCGAAACAATGTAGAATGTAGCCTAACTTCCTGTAGCCTAACTGGTAACTGATTCGGGGGCTAGTGATATGAATCAGTTACCCATAACAAACGAGGACTTTGAACAATACGCGTGTGTCGAGGATGCTGTCGCCACTTGTGAGGAACCCTCTGATGAAAACATTGTGGAAAATATAATTGCTAACGACGCGAATAGCAAAGATAATGTCGGTGGTGATGACGCACCAGAGGAGATTTATCCAACCTTGAGTGTTTCTGAGGCTTTGAAAGCCTCATGAACGAAATCTCGACTTTTAGAAAGGACAAAAACCAAGATAAATACATCCCAGTTCCATACCACTAATATACGAGGAACTTAGGAAAGATTTTAAAGGAATTAGGTATGTAGGTGGTTTTAAAAACAAGTCATACACTACAGAGCCTTTTGGGAAGTCCAAAAGACAAAGTCGAGAATTCGGAAAAGTATGGAATTTATTAAATTGAATGTAAGGACTGCGACGCAAACTATTATGGACAGACAAAAAGATCTATTAAAGTAAGATATAAGAAACACCTAGCACACTTAAAATATGGAAGACCTGAAAAATCAGCAGTCGCCCATCATATTTTGCAACAAAACCATTCCATAGACTTCAGTTCATAAAGATTAGTTAGACAAGTTAACAACAACAGGCAAATAGATGCCTATGAGAGTGTAGAAATAAGTAAACACAATAATATTATGAATAACGATGACGGGTCTATACCAAAGATTATATAGCTTGTTAAAATAAAATAATATAATGTTGTTGGG